GTTTTCTAGGCTGAGAAGAAAGAAATAACTGGAATGGATTGGTATGATCTTTTGAAAGAGCTTTGATACCAGGTGATGGCCAGGTGCAGTGCTGACAAACAAAGACTGGTACTCTTGACCAGAGTTTCCCAGCGTATAATGTAAGCTTGGAATATATCTTCATTTGGATTCAACGCATTTATTTTTCATATGAAGATTTTTGAATATCATGCACGTTTCCACGTTTCAGAACATTGTGTACAGGCTCATGTAGAGTAGAATGAACTATTCTCAGCACACAACATATTTATCAAATATAGTTTAGTTGCTTTATCTTTTAAATATCTTTTAAATAAATAATTTGTAAACAAGATCCACTTTTTTTTTTTTTTTTTTTTTTTTTTGCTACTCTGCAGTAAATTTATGCTCAGAGTCAATACAACTGGCAAAACTAGGCATTAGTTGACTGCTGTATGCCCATGGATCTCTTGCAAACTATTTTCTGTTTTAACTGTGTGTATTCTGTTTGTTATTGGGAATTTATTTTCATGCTGCTCAGTTTTCTGAATTCAGCTGGACCACAGCATTACACACATTTCCTATATATGTGAAATGTCTACATCTATACTCTACTCCCTGTGTTCTCAGTCTGCCTGAACTCTGAGAAAATAGCACCGATGCATAGCTTCCCTCTTTTGCTATTGAATTATTGTCCTAATAAGAACTAATAAGAACTTTGTTGCCAGAAGTTTTATGTGAAATATCAACCATGGACTTTACTGGGAAAAGAGCAAGAAAAAGGAAGGAAAAGGGGAGAACTAAATGTGCAGCCACCCTTCCATTAGTCCTGAAAGGTACACAAACCTCGGTTCAGGGGGTGGCATACAGGTTCCTATGTTATTGCTGCGTTTGATCTTGACAAGAGAAATGGCTCCATTGGTTTCAATATTGAAGTAACTGTGAACTCTATGTTGTGTGTAACACAAGATGTCAGGCTAAATGACTGAAAAGTCCTCACTGGTCTTCAAATCAATAAATTTCAATGGATGATTTTTTGAATCATATTGAAACGTATGTTTATGACTAACTTTCCTAGCTGTTGTTATAATATAGTACCTGTAGACTGTTGAACCACACGCTTTATTTTAGGCATAGTTTACGTACCTTCAAGAGAGGATTGTATAATACCCTTTTAGATTAGGTGGTCTGTGACAATGCAGATGAACGCAAAGTACATCTAGAGAAAAACTGGAAAGCAATAAGGTTACTTGGTTTAATGTCAATGTTACTGCCTTTGGTTTATAACAAATGAACTTTAGAAAGGGTTTCACTTACAACAAACACTTCTGATAGCATAATAGGGTGAAAAATGAATTTTTACAGGCCCTCATTCAGGTAAACTATCACAGCAAGTGGATACAATGTCAGGTGAATGGCTTATGTATTATATGAATGTGTGAACCAGACACTTCTGTTGACATTTTACAGAAGTCATTCCTCCTTCAATTGATTTATTTTACCATTGCAAATGTTGTTATCTTCTCAGTGAATGACTTCTTTTTTTTTTTTCTACTCATTTTTTTTTTACTCTTTTTTTTTTTTTTTTTCTTTCCCAGGTTTTGTGTTGTCATATGAAATGCTATGTTAATAAGGTTTTATTTATTTATTTTTTGTACATAATCATGTTATTGATCCCTTTCAGTTAAAAGGTGAACAGAACAATATTTGGTGAGGGGTGACTTCCACACTCAGCTGATATGCAGCCAAATACAGTTGAGGATTTCTGAGTGACTTTTTCATGTGACAGATAGTAGGTACTACATCTGTGAGGTCTACCACCCATTGTCTTTTTTTCATTATTATTATTTTTTCCTTCTCCTTTTTTACCCTAACCATTCTTTTCCATATATTTGCTATTTCACAGTTTTATCTTGCCCACTGGCACAATAATTACATCCCCCCAGTGTCAGAGTGCATAGAAAGATAAATAGTTTTGAAACATGTTTGATGGATAAACAATGTTTCCCTCATTTCATCTACCTAAAATAACTGAATATCCGAACTGTCAAGTGTTTTATCTTTATTGACTTCATAAGTTGCCCTGAAGTCAGAGTTATCATGAAGAATTTTTGAAATTCTCTTTTCCTGCCATGATTCACTGCCCTAAACATGTGTAATTTAAGAGACATATTTATATACTTTATGGTAGAAACAGTTAAATGATCTTTGAAGAAAAGTCTCTTCATGCGAAGAATATACAACGCATGTTGCTTGTTTGTTTGTTTACACCCATCTTTAGCTCAAAGCTGGCAATGTGGCCGTGACAGTGAACTGAGCAACCAAATGCTTCTCCTCTAAAACCTGATGGCCATAGCTCAGTTTGGCACACTGGTGTTCAGCATGAGATAGTAGAACCTATCTGCAAGGCTACACAAAGTAACCTTAAAACAGGGGGAATGCAACACCGTGTAAAGACTCTTGGGACTAGCAAGCCTTCTTATAGAACAAGTCATAGGCAAGCTACGGTCACCTCATTAGCAGTATGTGTTAATGACTGGCTTAGATATTGACTGCAATGTAGAGTTGTGTTCTATTAATTTCCTGTGGGGTTTGTTAAACATAACACAAAGATGGTCTGTATTAGTTCAAACTGCACAGGATTAAGGATGGTCTAATTTGATGATCTCCAAAGTCTTGGTGTTATAATACTTTAACAAATTTCTGGGTTTTGAGAAAATACTATTCCATAGTTTTAATATGTTACAAAAACAGATTATATAACATTATTTTTCAATTTGTACAGAAACAGAATAATTTGTATTTCTTTTAGGAAACTTAAACTTCAGTGTTGTGCATAATGCAAAATATATCATTTCAAGGTTTGCAGTTTAACAGGGAAAATTTCTTCTTGACCCTGTTATAGTTAAAAATAGAAGGCAAAAAAGGAATATTCATATTTCTTGTATCTTACCAATTAATCTTTGCTTTAGACTTTGTCTCATAAACAAGCACAATAGGGTCCTGAACTAAGGCTAAAATGGAAGGTCGCTTTGAGAGCTAGTAAAGAAAAACACTTTATGTGTGTGTGTGTGCGCTTAAATGCCTTAAAAATGAATAGAGTCATCTGTCTGAAAAAAAAGTATTGACATTTTTATGGAGTTGTTTTTGGAAAGATCCAATGTTTAATATTAAATTCAGCATATGGTTGTGGTCAAATTGTGCTCCTACTGTGTAAAATGTATGAATAACAACTTACTGCATTCTCCTGGCCGATATATGGAGAGAAGGTTGATTAATTTAACTAGTATCCCTTAATCTCCTGCCTTGGCTCCCATCCCATTCTGCAAGGGTTGATAAATCTTACATCCCCTGAGGAGTATTACAATTCCTAATAGTCTTATGCTATTAGGAAGAAGCAAGGCTCAACTGTACCAAAACATCCAGCACATGAAATTGTATAAATAATTTAGCTTTTCCAATTTAATTTTTTACAGCTTTTCTTTGCAAACCATGATAAGAGATGTTAGTTCAGTCAACTGTAAGTAAAAGAAAAAGGAAAAAAAAAAAAAACGGAAAATATTAAAAAGGGAAAATATTTTTCAGAGGAATTGCATGAAAATGTAGGGTTGTTCTACAACAACCCTATGTAGGGTTATTCAATGCTCTGTTAGGTGATTGGAACCAAGGTCACTCGTATATTTGACCCCCTTTGAAAAATAAAATATTTTGCTTAGAGTGAATGCTCTCTTAGGATCACCAGTTACTTTCATCGTGATATTTCATGGCTTAGAAGTATCTGATGGTTTCACAATGAAGTAGGACTGCTTATTCTGGCTCAGATTTTTTTGTGCAGCTTCAAGAAAATCACTCCGTGCTTTGTAGTAGGCTCAGATGCACAGTCAAGCTACTTGTACAAGTTTCTCTGAGTCAGATGACTCATAACAGTTGCTTGTGTTCATAACCATAGCCCACAGCAAATTCAGCTTGACTTAGCTTACAATGAAGAAAGTTTAAGATAAATAGCATAACCTTGCAGTTGCTACAGGCTGAGTTAGCACAAGGACAGTCACCATGTCTCAGATAATGCATATTGAATTGTTGAGCTGCAATAACTTGGTCACGTGACTGAGATTTATACCTCATCTATAAACAATCTTGAAGGAAAGTTTTAAGGATAAATAAATTCTAAACAAACCAACCAAAACCAACCAACCAAACAAAAATTAAAAGGTCTTTAAGGAGTCTCAAAAACTGGAACTGTAAGAACAATAGAAGTATTCAAGGGAGACACTCTTCTCATGCATGGGAAGATGCAACATCAGACGTTTCTGAATAGAGACATATATATATATTTCAGAACACAGCAAAACCTGCAAATTAACTGATTGTTTTCCTATTAACTAATATAAGTCAAATATTTTGCTTCAGTAAGTATAAACATCTCTTGTATTAGGTTGAATCTCCTGCAACAGACTGAATCCTATTGTCTTCATTCTGGCAAAACTTCTGCAGCAATTAGGGAGAATTTTAAAGGAGTTTGCAGTATGTGTTTCCACAAAATAATACTCTGACTTCAGTAACAGTTTGGATTGATAAAGGGTATGAAAGGAGGGCTTTATTTATGATCTCTGCTTATTAATAATAATGCTTTGATTTCTTATATATTATTCAGAAATCTTTCTTCATACATAGTAAAGTAAGTCTTATTACATCTGAGGTAAGTAAATAGCTTTATACCTGTGAGCAAAAAGGGACTTGCAGAATTCAAGATGAGCATTTGCATGAGTAAATATCCTAGAAAATGTCCATTCTGCAGTGTTTGGTGTAGAATTCAACCTTGGAGTGGCCTTAGAGAATTTGGGCTGGCTCTGTGAAGTAAGATGCTGGTGATGATCCCAGAGCTGATAGATGTGCCGACTCATGGGGTTGCCACATGCCTATTGGCTGTTAAGGCTTAGGCATGCATCTTATTTGATCCCTGAGTGCATCCTGAAGCTTCAACCAGCAGGTGGAATAGGAAGAAGGGCTGAGGCTCAGGCCAGCAACAGTTGAGAGCTGAGTTGAGCAGCAGCACCAAGAGACCTCAACATGAGAACATTGTGTGGAGGTGCAAGGATGTAAGGACCACAAACTTCACGGTGAGGTTTGGTTTATGTTTTGGGATAAATTTTCATGTGAGTGATGTTTGGTTAAAAATGTGTCAGTCTTCAATCACATGGGAAACAGATAATTGTGGGGAATGACTTGCAAGGGAAACATTTTGAAAGCTCAGCCTCGTGTAGTTTTGTTTGTTTCGGGTGTAAAAAAGCCATCTGAAAAGAAAGGAATGGACAAAACCCTTTGGTTCATGTTTGCTCAGGGTCTCATAAAACCAAGAATACGCTAGGATATAGAGGTTTATGTATGGAAAATACTGTAGAAAGATAAGTCCAGCAGTCTAAAGTGGGGAAATTCAGTCCATCCTCTCAATGCACATTTCTTTTCAGTTAGACCCAGAGGACTCAGTTCTGATGTTTGCACAGCCCAAGGGCTTGGGGAAAATTGGTCAAAAGTGACACAATCCACGTGGCCTTCTTTCTGGTTTACCTTTTACAACCATTCTGACCAGTCCCTAGGCAACTTTAAATCCCTCTGGACACACCTCCATATGTCATTATTCCTAACTACAAGGGCTTTGCCCAAACCCCTGTGATCTCCCAGAGACGTGTGACTGGATATACAAGGTCCATGGGGAAACCTCAAAATTGCTGCTGAGCAAAAGCCTCTAAAGGTCTATCTTACCCCAGATTTAATTCTATGTGGCTTAAGAGTTTCTGCATTTATAGCTAGAATAAAGAAGATAATACTCCAAAATGTGGGATAAAGCATGTATATCAGCCTCTTGTTCCTTTAAAAAATACAGGCATATTTATTTCCCTGTTCCTAGATTCATGAACACCATATTTCATATGCTTACTGTAATAACACCACAAAAGACTTCATAAATGCACCAGTCAGTGGGGAATGCTATGCAAGCTTGTGATTTTACACTTCTTTTCTCTAAGCCAGAAAATCTAAATGTAAAACGTAACATTCAGAGACACTGAGTGGGGTTTTGTGATGCTCTCTGGAGGATGCTGGATTCATAAAACAATGAATGGATTGCAGTCATCGATAGAGTTAGTTTTTCCATCTGTGACAGACATACAGTATACTCTTGCTAACGTGCTTCACATTAATAAACCACCCAAGTATAATTCATTGCAGGTTGCAGCTGTAAATTAGAAATATCCTTCATTTTGTTCAGTTGTCATGACTAAGAGATCATCATGAGGTGGGGGCTGTTTGTAAAGAGACAAGAGGGACTGCAGCCCTTGGACCTCTCACTGGAATGCAAAGTGTCTCACCATGGCTGTCCACCGAAATGTGTGGCATGACTCGATGCCCACTCACAGATGGAGAGCCACCTTATCATCTGCTGTCATTTTTTTTTTTTTTTTTTTGTCTGCCTATGCTCTGCTGGGAAAGGGATGCAAAGAGGTGCTGGGGAGAGGGTGCAATGCAAATGCAGGTGCTGTGCCATCAGCTGGATCCTGCTGCTGCTGCTGCAGGTGCTGGGACTGCCTGCATCTGGTCTGGGCACAAAACAACGCCAGGATCAGAATCAGTCCCAGAAATTCCCATTTGTGGGTAACTTTGCTCTGATCCTGACATTGTGTTGATCCTGACATGGTGTTAGACAAATCAGTTTAGACCTGATTCAAGTCCCATTAAAGCTGATGAGTGTTTTATTTTCTGTGCCCTTCCCCCCCACCCGCCCTGATTTCAGTGGGAGCTCTCACAGTCACTTAATCTCTCTGCTTCCCCGTCACAGCCTAAGAAATTTGGATAAACATGCCTCACTCAAAGAGGTGTTCTGAGGATTAATTAGTTAACATTTGTAGGGCATTTTGAGGATAAAAAATGCTGAACATGGCTTTTATCGCACCTGGCAATGTGTGTGTGTGTCTCTGTGTGCATGTTTTTTGCACAAAATGAACACCGTACTTTCATGTGTAAAACTTGCATATCAGATAAACTGCATGCCTATGCAAATAAATCCTCAGGCTAATAAACACTCTCAACTAATCCCCAGGCAATACGTAGGCAAGCAGAGGCAAAGACAGAGGGCAGTAGAAACAGGGAGATTTTGTGAAGAGACAGAAGATGAGAGAATCAGTGTGTGTGTGGGGAAATCTGGGAGGGGGGAAATCTCTTTTTCTACAAATGTATATGTATAAGCTCTACTGAATTACAGGCTGGCCATGTGGAAATACGGTATTTCAAAATTCTTTTTGCATTATGATTTAGCCATGCATTATGTTTTATGGTGACATGACCTCATTGTTTAGAGATTTTTGGTGCATACTATAACAGACTTTGTATGGCAATAATAGTAACTCACGTTAATTTTTTGCATTCCTCATATATTCATTCAGTCACTGGAATGTGCATAGCTAAAAACTAGCACATTGTAACTGAACAAACAGTGGATTAAATGTGTCTGTTTTGTCTTCTTCACTAAGCTAGGTGGGATCAAAACTATCTGCTTCTGTGCCATATTTTAATTATATTTTTATTTTGAGTGCCAACATTTTACAATATGAAATGAAGCAGTGACAGCAGAAAATACAGCATCATTCAAATAGACTTTAATCAGGTCTTGGAAGGATAATGGAAAGCAACTGAAGCAGGTTTGTTAATTCAGTTGGTCTCAGCTCATTGTAAAGCCAATACACATAGCTGCTATTTCAGAGTTGATCACCTATGGTCTGTCTGGGACCACAAGCTGTAACTGCAGAGTGGATAGCAGGGTAACAGCATGTTTAGATGCCCTCACAGAGGTACCTGCTACAGTGCTAGTGACAGACAATTAACATAAGGACAAGGAAGGGACTGCTGTTTGTGAATGAATTGTGCATAGGCATCAGCAGTAAATGATGGTCCCTATCTATGCAATTAACTGTAAGCTACAAGCAGGCAGTGAGCAATGGCAATTCACATTACAGTTATTGTCTTTGTATTCTGTAATCTGGAGTACAGACACATTTCTCAACGTTTTCTCATCACCCCATCTTCCTAAATGTTAGAAAGTGTGTTTAGATTTAATTGTGAGAGGATTTCTGTGTCTTTAATGGGACAGGGTTAGTCTATACCTCATTTGAAATGACACTGTGAATATGACTTACAGGATTGTGCTCACTGTAACAATAGCCCTTAGCAATGTGTTGAATCCTCAGGGTAAAAGCTCATTCACTGACTACAGACAAAGGCTTTAAGGGAGTAGGAGATGGAAAAAAATGTAAAAGTGAAAAAAAAAAGAAAAAAAAAGCACACACCAATTGTGGAAACAGGTAACTTCTGCTCCTCCTCTCTAAAATCTGAAGTGCTAGCAGGAAGCACTGTAATAATTATTTCTTCTAACAGCTGGCACTTCAACCTTCCTTCACACCAGGGGAAGTCAGTACACAAGAGCTGCAAGGCAAGGTGCATTCTCAGGGGAATTCTTGTCGCTGAGGATAGCACTTTTCTGCCACGTTCCGGAAAGAAAGGAAGATTAAAATGCAAACTGCTTTCTGCATGAACCAACTGTCTTTTTCAGGGGCTTTTTTAAAGATGGACTATGATTAGAGGGACCTCCAGTTGCAGTGCTTTTCACACAGACTTATCTGTTCCCACTAGTTTACCCAGCTGCCCTTCTCCCTTGTCCATCTGCTCCCTCCCTCCTGGATGCTCTTTCTCCCACCAGAGATGTTCCTTCTCCTTCCACATCTCTCCTCCAGCTCTGCCAATGCTAGGGTTTGTAGGGACTTGTGTTGAACCAGACCAGGGGCTGGGCTGAGCTATAGTAATCCTGAAAGTAGCACAGAATGAAAAAGTGGAAAGAAAAGGTTATTTCTGACACAAATCCAGATCCAGTCAAAGATCTGCTGGTCGCTGAAATAGTTCTGTGGCCACAGTTTTGTAGGCAGCAAGAAGCATCCAGCAGCTGAAAGTGGAATCGTTACAAGAAATATCCTTATAACCGCAGCATAAATGGGGAACAAGAAGGGAATGAATCAAACTGAGGGAAGAGGTTCAACACAGAGTTAAGAAAATAACAGTTATGGTGGCTGCGCACAGTTATAGAGGTGATGAAGAAAGGGTGTCAAACAACATTGTATCTCTTCATTGAGTTCCCACAATACTGGGTAATTGTAAATTGGTTTACCACCTCTACCTCCTTCAATAAAACACAATATTTGCGCCATACTTAGAGATTTTTATGCTATCATTCACTGACATTGCTTTACAAATATTAGCATTTTCATATGTAACCTTCATTTAGCCCCTTTTGCATGTGTGCATGTGTGCATGTGTGCTTTGACACAGACTTTAATTACATGGTTATCTATTATTTTTTTTTTGTGTGGATAATTATTAATTAGTTGTTTATATCTCCTTTATTCAATGTATGGCTCCAGATTCTATTAATCACAACCTAAAACCTCAGCTGACTACAATGTTATCAATATCCTCGTTTTTTTTTTTTTTTGTTTTTGTTACTCTTTTGGTAACTTATTAGTTCTTCACAAACATCATGAATTTATATTCGCAGCAGCCCAAGCAATTAGGTGCATTATTACCACCATTTTACAGATGGTGAACTGAAGAAAAAAAAAAAAAAAGAAAAAAATTATAGCTAAAGCTGTCAGATCTCTATACTAATTTTTGATGACCAGCTTTAGACACCTAGCCTGTAATTTCTCAGGGGCAATAGTATTAAAGAGGGAATCTACATTCCAGTCATATATCCAAGTGCTTTAGCCCTCTGATTTTTTGCAAACCACACCCAGAAAACAGGGAACAAAAAAAATAACAACTGATAGCTAACTGTAAGTGTCTGGTTCTAATCCAAACAATACTGTGGCAGAAGTAGGAAGATAACTGTCCTGCTTGCCATTAAGGGTTAATTAATGCTTTGTATTGAAATACCTTAACACAGAGATTTATATTGTAGGTAACTACAATATGAGGTAGACATCCAAGTTCCTTCTGGTGTCAACAGAGCCTGTAGAGCTGTTTGTTTACCCTACACAGAATAAATTCTTATCTAATCAGCCCAACCCTCAGCTATGTG